TATATATATATATATATATATATTAGGGTAACAAATTTTTGTTCAAAAAAATGAAACTCTGAAAAATGCAAATCTCAACTCATATAAGTATTCCTTTTGTCTAAAATTAACCTATATGAAATTTCGCCCCGAAAAAATTTGTCTGATCGTGAGCCGTGTCTTGGTCATTTTTTTGCCTTGGGCGTAGCGATGTACGAATTTCAACCCCTAAAATTCTCTTGATTTCACGCTCCAAAATCGTATCTTTTCGACTGTAAACAACTGCTGTTTGACTGTAAACATCAAAAAGGTCCAGTTCAAAAGTCATGCCGTTTTTGTATTGTGCACTCAGTTAGGCGCCATAGGTAAAAATGAATCGATCTAGCTATCTTCGAAACCAATTTTTTGAAACGAAATTTCATAGTTTGTTTTTGGACATGTCTGGTATATTTTTACGAGCTCGAATCTCAAAAATTCTGAAAACTGAAAAAAAATGTCACAGTAATATGTAGAAATACATACCAAGTAAATTATTGGCAATTAAATAACATAAGCAACTAGATGCAATTATAAATATACTCCTATAAGCATAAAAACGCAAACGTATGATGATATCATCTTCTCTCTTCAACAAGAATGGCTGGCTCATGCAAACACCTAGAAGAAAGGATACTGGACAACAATAAGGGAAACTATTTCTTCCGTGGGTTGACTCGAATGATGGGTCATGCATCCCTTAGTTCACAATCCTCCAGCACCACCGCGCTTAAGAACTTACGAATTCACATTTCACCATTTCGCAGAAAAGCACAAATGTAACCATGCAAATTTTCATTCATACCTAACGATAAGTGTTTTAGTTTATTAATGATCGTAGCAATAAACAGTTTATTGAAGATGCTATATTCTTTGCTCTTTTTTCATTTACAGAAGAGATCATAAAAATAAAAATGACAATGAGAAATTGAAAAACAATAATAATTATTATCATTATTATTGTCGTAATAATGATAATTAATAGGTACTTTTGCTGTTGACGTGTACCACCGCGCCATTACAGATGCTCGTGCGCTCATTCGCTTCATACATTAGTCGAAGCTTATGCGTTAGCCTTATCACTGCGCTAAGCGTAAGTCTAAGCTTAAGCATACTCCTGATTTGACTTCGAATNCCTAAGCACGTGTGTGTGGTGGCGCCCGCTAACAGCAAAAGTACCTGCTAATTATCATTATTACGACAATAATAACGATATTAATTATTATTGTTTTTCAGATTTTCAAATTTGCCAACTAATAATCGTAATAATGATGATTAAAAAGTAACGAACACTATTAGTGATGACATCCAAACGAAATTTCAGCTCGGTCGGAATCCGACTGAATCGACTTCTCAACACTCCAACGTTCGGAATTCTAACCGAACTTCGGGATTCTTCGGTCGGAATCCAACCGAATTGACTTTTCAACATTCGGAACGTCAGAATTCTGACCGAAATTTATTGGATTTTTTTCGAGTGAATTTCATTCGGATGCCATCACTGGCAGGTGTACACCGTTGCGCACACATCTGTCCTTTTTTCTTCTCTTTTTCATTTACTCGCTGCTTCTATGATTAGCGCATCATCTATATCATTCTGCTAGCTATCTCTATGATCCATCGACTGTTTTTGCAGCGCAACAAAACGTATGATGTCCTCTTCGAATTAATAATTGATCGATTGATTCGTTTTTTGTTTAATCCCAATCAATACCCATTTCCTTATGCGTTCGTTTACTCGTTACCTTGTGTGCTCTTTTCAAGTACCATCAGAGGAGAGGAATGAAACATGGATAATATCCATACAATATCTGAAACTGATGGTTGCATGAGCGGATGATCAGTCGTCAGATCGATTATGAAATGCGTTCATTGAGCGTGAACATGAAACAAATATGTTCCGTAATGTTTAACGGCGTAATTTTTCTTGCATTCGTNGTTCATTGAGCGTGAACATGAAACAAATATGTTCCGTAATGTTTAACGGCGTAATTTTTCTTGCATTCGTTGCGAACAATACCGAAGTGTTGCTACAACTAAATTTTGGATAATAGTCTAGTTGTTGTGTTGAAAATATTAGTGATAAAAGAAATAAATAATCGCAATCATGATGACAGTGATAATCATGCGTTCAAAGAAAGAAATGAAGCAGTCACTCAATGTAGAATGTCTACGTTCAGAACGAGAGCGGAGCGCATATTAATAAATATTTTTGATTAACTTAAAAAGCGCTAGCATAAGCAGCAGATATAAAATAAGTGCTACTAATACATGGATGATTATGGTTAATTGTTGTACGCTTGATATGAAAGTTCCTCGCACAAACAAGTAAAGTCGCATAATATAATAATTGCTTTTTGAATGGTTATTTCATTATGTTTTGTAATATTTGCCATAACAACGATACTGCACAGCCATGCGTAAATATTGTCGATACTAATTATAAGGGTTTTGATATCATAATTATGATATGGAATCAGGAATTGAATCGGATCGATTCACGAGTGCGACAGGTTAAAAAAAAAGGGAAATTGTGAATAGTGAAGTAAATAAGCATATTGAACGCATGAGACGTATTTTACAAAGTAAGTTCTTAATCTAGCAGATCTACTCGTCAAAAACTTCAGGATGATAACTGAGGTAGAGAAAGTCGTAGGTACACTAAATCAATCGCATTTTGCTAATGCTCTCGAACGACACTCGAACGATTAACGGAATGATTGTGCGTGTGCATCTTAACGTTACGACGCTACCTGCTATTCTATGAGATGCCTACCTATTCAATTTACGAAAGGAGCGAAATTTTTGTCAGAGGATTCAAATTCAAAATTCGAAAAGAATTATTTTTTCCGTTTGTTCGTCGAAATGTTTTTGGTTTTTCGAATAAACGACCGAATGGGATGGAAAAATCGAGAGAGAGAGAGAGAGAGAGAGAACGACCGGCGGACGCACAGTTCCTGAGTTGTTCCATATCCGACTGATTGCTGAACAAGCAAAACAAAAATGAATTGTTGATAAAAGAGTGTAAAACCGAAGAGTTTTTTTGCGCCGGAAATGGCACGTACCAAATGGTTGTGAAGAGACTGCCTATGAAGTAAAATTAGTCGAGGTGAAACGATTAAACAACAAGTCAAAAATTCGTATTCATTCATATCGATTGACGAAAGTACTATTTTCGCAAACGCTTTCATTAGTAGTAATAGTGGACGATCGATTGAATGAAGCAAAAGCTATTATTAATGCTTATTGCCTCGAATACATCAAATGCAAGCAGCTAACATCACTCAAATAATATTGTCGACTGAAACTGTTCAGTGATGAAACATTCATTGCTGATTGTGTATTTTTTGTGATTGTACGGTTGCACGATGAAGCAAATTTTTCGTCAAAATTTTGATTGATTTCAGTAATTTTTTCATAATCGAATCTTTTCATCAAAATTCGTTGATAATTCACTACAAATTGTCGAGAAATTTGAAGAAGAAAATTCCTTCGTCCTCCTTCTATTTGAACTAGTAATAATTTGTAACTAAAAAACTCCAAAGAAAGAAGAAATACGTCATTACTTCAACTGTTTTCATCGTCCTTATCCAAAAGCATGTATGAGAAGCGATTGCTTGATTGTCTGTTTATCTGATTTGACATTGCCAATGCGATTACGCTAGTCACCAGTAGCAACATTTCTTCTCGTTTTTGGTTAAACTCAAAACAGTTTAAGTGCTCATTGTGATAGTTGTTTATGATTTTGGATGGGGATGGAGTTGGGTGAGTTATACCACTCTTGCATGATGTGAGTGCTATCGAGTGACCGATGCTGCCGAGACAGGTTAGCTGAGCAACGAGAATGTGACTGTTGAAAGGAAAGAAAAATTGAGCGATTAAGTAATGAAAATGGCTACTACCTATTTATCAAAATCATAAATGACATTTCCTTCTCAAGTGCTACTAGTACAATATCATCATCGTACTAGTAAATGAATAAATGCAACAACTCTTATTCGATAAAACCCCATCGAACTGTTGATTACGATAACGATATTCGAGTCGTTTTCAGTGGTTTTAAGACAGTTTTCAATTCCGCCGTAATATATCATCAAAACAGTAAGAACTGTTGTCATTTGAATTGACGAATCTGATCAGTTCGTATTGCTACTCGTTGTTGCTATTTATTATACGTAAGTGTAATATCATACAATCAGATGTCTTCCGTCTAACTATGCTAGCAAAAACACATCATCTTTTAAGTTTCTTATTTTAACAATCATCAAAAGATGCAGCTATATTTAGTGGGTCCGCATCTTCTGAAGAGGTGTTATTCATTTCTCTCTTATCTGCTTTGCTCATGGAGAGAGCCATCTCCTCACCCCTTCACGAAAGCGTGAAAGTAAACAAGCGAGCATGCATTTGCAATTTCTCTTCTGGTGTTCTTACGTTAATTCATTTATCATTCATTACTGCTTAGTCACAACTTATTATGTTTGTATAACTTCGTTTCTCATTCGACTGTAATTAGCTTTTTCCTTCACCTTCAGACTAATGTTCCATCGAAAGATGTTCCTTCACTGAGCTTTTTTCATTCGATAGATAAAGTACCAAACCTACTGAGTGGATTCCTGTGCGTAAAGCGCGTCCTCTTGGCTATCCAAAAACGAGTTAGGATGTAGACAGTAGGCGTAAAAGGGAAAAATTGGTTCGTGTAGACTGGCGATCAGGGAAACTCCATCAAACAGCTCACCACAGGCGAAGATGAGTCGGAATAGAGCAAGGGTTTGTCAACCAGGGATGTGAGATAGTATTCCAGGTGGTACAATATATCATTTCATTTTGTTGTAAATTAAAATAGGCAAGGACTGAGTTCAACGCATTCAACTGTGTAAAGTAGGTGAGGGTGAACTTTAACGCATATATCTTTGGAGTGGCTGGCTCAAACGTGCTCTGAATGATATGCTCTCATCGACACATTTTGAACAGCTGGGGTGTGATGACATTCAAACTATTGTTGTGGGGGGTGAAAAAAACTTTTTAGAATTTTTTGGAAGGTTCGGCCGAAAAAAAGGTTGTGAACCAATGGGATAGAGTAAGAAGGCGATTCGACAGGGAAGCATAAAAATAGTTAATTTTAAGTTAATTGCTGCTGCTTCTGTGCAAGTAGGATGTTAATTCGTATATGTGAAACTGAAGAAGGTCAATTTGTAACCATACATCGAACGACATGTGCTCGCCCATTTGACAACAATTACATAGGACGGAATATGAAAGTGAGGAAGTATGCAAAAAATCTGCATATAGAAAGAATTTTATCGGCGAGAGAATTTTACATATGAGTGGATGGAAAACGTGTAATAAAAGTGTTGACATTTTAGGAATGAGGCGAAAAGTCCACCGTTGAAAATTATTCTTGAGGAAATGCTATGATTAGAAATTTTATTTGTTCGATTTTGGTATTGCGTTAGGTGATAATTGACAAACGTTGAAGAAGTAAAAATCATTATACGTCGTTTTGTCATTCCTTCTCACTTAATTAATGATTGCTCAACTTGACCACTCTTCATAGAGTTTGATTATCATAGCAAAGTAATTAGTTAATCAGGCTTCATTTGAGCTGATTTAGATGATATCCACCATATTCATTCGTGTTGTTTGCATCGTTCGATGAAACTTATTTCTTGATTAATTTAGAATCAAGGTGAAGCAATGAATATAATCGATGTCATCGTTCTTGTCCTGCTTATGACGCTCATTTCATTCTATGGCCTCTACAAGTCACTCAGAGGGGCCAAGAAATCTTCAACCAATGGAGTGCTGCACGATGCCAAGTAAATAGTTGCACGATAAATTTGCTGAATTCGTTCATAATAATAATTTTTGAGTCAATTTTGGAAGTGAACTTCATCGTATGAATAATACCCTACCTTTATTATTTTCAGCGTATCGATTCTTTCGTCAGCCTTGTCTGTATGCTCAGGATTCATTTCAGCCATCTCATTACTTGGCTATCCGGCCGAGGTTCGTTTACCGTTTCGTTGAAATATATCAGACGTTATGGTGATCTTTCTTCTATCATTAATTAATTTCTCTTGCACTGTGAGAGACAATTCTTGTCAACGAAACTACTGTTATCAAATACCATCCTATCTATTTCTTGTATTTCTGGTCTAAACTGCAATCGAATATATATGCTTGCAATAAGTATAATAGTAACGTAATAGTATATGATATTTATTACAGATTTATCATCAGGGCACAATGTTTTGGTGGTATGGAGTTATGTATTTTATTGCATTTCCACTCATTGCATTTGTATTTCTACCCGTTTTTTATCGACTCAAATTAACAAGCATTTATGAGGTTGGTGTTTGTTTGTGCTAGCAGATGGAGAGGAATTTTTGCATGATTCTTTTCGATTATTGTTGGAAGATGTGCAATAGTTTTGGAGTGGATTTTTTCGAATAATTATTAAAAGCACGCAATGTGTGAGATGGAAAGAAATACCTATTTATATTTACATTTTAACTTGTTTTTGCATTTCAATGTATTTAATTGTCGATCTTCTGAGAACGTCAATGGAAAGTATTCAGTGAATTTTTCGAGCAACATTGTTTCGGTGATGCTCAATAATGTTGTTTAAAATGAAGAGCGATTGCTTAGAATGAAAAGCTTGCGGAATGATGTTAACTCATCATTATCTCACTCTTTCCACCTTTCGTCTGAGATTTGTTATGTAGATGCTTTCAGTACCTCGAACTAAGATTCAACTTTGGATGTCGTTTAATGGCTTCGACTACGTTTTGCGTGCAGGTGAATTTCCTTCCGTTTGGCTGAAGACTTTTTTGAAACGAGCATTCCATTTGATGCTGATTTTAGTTTTGTTTAGTAAATATTACCAGAAACTAAAATTTTCTTAATATCATCCTTACAAAGATAATCTATGCTCCGTATCGGAACCTTCATATTCAAACTCTCCCATATCCAAGCGATCCACTAATGAGGGAATTGTTTGCAATGAGTGATTATAATGAAAAATTGGATCAAGCTGTTCATATTCGATTCAAACAACAAAGTGGAAAAGGCTCACCAATGATAGGTCTGATATTGTGAGAAAATTTAACTATTTCTATAATTTACTTCGTTTGTGTTCTGTTGAAAATGCCAATTCTTTGACTAATTCCGGCTAAGACGCTTTTGCTGATACGTGCGCATGTACTTAGATTACCGCTTTGCCTCATGTATATCTATGCAACTTGAAGTCAAATCATGAGTATGCTTAAGTTAAACTTACGCTTAGCCCAGTGATGAGGCTAACGCACAGACTCTGACTTATGTGTGAAGCGTATGAACAAATGAGCATTTGTGATGGTGCGGTGGCGCCCGTTATCAGCAAAAGTATCCTGACTGAAATGGAGTTTTTGCAAAAAGCATAAAATAAGTCAACTAACAGAGTTGTTGAGTGGTGGTATGAATTCGATAATGTAACTGAATAAGAAGACTGCTTCAATCGAATTTCCAACAGTGATAACACGAGCATCCGTTATCATTTGCAACCACGAAAACCTGCGACTTAATTGCTTTTTAAGAAGTATCTAATAAGTCCTAGAAAGCTTCGAACCGAAGTATCGTTGCAAAGATATGCTAGCTCATTGAAAGAAGGCCGAAGTTTACTTTCCTTAAAAATTGCAATCCATTTGGTAATCGATACGGGAAAGC